CAACAGTGGTGATTGTTGTTCTGACGATGCCAGTGGAGATCGTGGCGTTGCAGCACGTGAAACCACGGGACACCGACGGGACACCGATGCGACACCGACGGGACACAATTGATTTCACTGTCGATCTCACTAGCCATCCCACTATCGATCCCACTATCGATCTCTTTTTCGATCTCACTCTCGATCTCGCTTTCGATCTCGCTCTTCGTCTCACTATCGATTCCAATATCGACCTCGCTATCGATCCCACTCGATCGACACTACCGATCTCACTATCGATATCACGATCGATCTCCGTATATATTCTATCTCTCACTATAAATGAACTATCGATCTCACTATCGGTCTCATTATCGATCTCACCATCGATCTCACTATCGACCTCAATGTCGATCTCACCACGGGACACCACGGGACAACGACGGGACACTGGCGGGACACCAACGGGACACCGGCGGGACACCGGTGGGACACCGCGCGCCACCGGTTGCCGGGCGGAGAACATCTTGGTCCAGCCGCGGCCCAGCCACGACGGGACGCCGGCGGGACAGCAGCGGGGCACCAGCGGGACACTGGCGGGACACCGCGCGCCACCTGTTGCCTGGCGGAGAACCTTTCGGTCCAGCCGCGGCCGAGCCACAAGAGAATTTCCTCCCCCGCCCGCGCAACTTCGCCTCGCCCACACGCACGGCACGAATGTGAAACCGAAATCGATTTCCCGGTAGGGGGGCTCTCCGTTCCACTTCGATCTCACCCCCCAACCTCCGATCTCCAACGCGGCATCACTCCGATCGGTCCGCTCGTTTACTTGCCAAGTTCATTCCGTCCATGTTTCTTCATCTCCTCTAAATCAGCACTGACATGCAACAACTCATTTTGCGAGCCCGAGCTTTCCAATATCCCATTGTATGTTTATCCAAAATTGTGCCGACTCCTTCTGGCGTGACCATCCGATCCCGGGGTTAACAGTGCCCACTTCGGCGTCGCGTCTGGGTAGGCGTGCAAACTCAGGTCCCTGATCGCAGATTATTCGACAAGAGTTGCCCGCGACAGTGGCGACCGTAACTGAATTATACGTCGCGTTTTTAGAAACTCCGTGGTTGACCCGGAGGGCTCCTGGCATGAATCTGCGCGTCCCATTTATCTTCTCAAACCCTGTCGCGATCTGGGGCGGAACGGGGGTCCACTTTGCGATGTCGGCCGGGGGTCCCGTAGAGGGCCACCCTTGTGGACCGTGCGTTGTGTGCAAATTCAAGCCTGTGCTGCGCATTATGGGCCCCTTCATTTCCTTCTGGGCGATTGAGCCCGCGAAAACGTTTCCGAGCAGCGCCCGCAATGCCGCGGAATATTCCTGTGCAGCCATACAGAAACCGTGGAAGCTCTTCCGTCCAAGCAATGACACATAAATCGCGTTTGAATGGGAAGATGACATTTGTTCTGTTCAAATCGAAATGGCGCGCACTCGTCGGATGCGGCGTTGTGGGAGCCGCATCGCCGACATCCGGCGCAAGCAATGGGCTTCGGATTGCTCTTGCTCTGGCTGGGTCTGGGTCCAACTTTCGGCGTGGGTGCTGAATCGTGACGGCCGCGAGCTCCGAGCGGACGTGCGATTGATTCAGACATGAAATATTCGAGACATCCTGTTTCGCCGGGCTGACTCATCCATCTGAGCACCTGCTCCAGAAATATGCCGGCGCATCATCTGAATCCGACGGAAACTCTATATGCGGACTCGTGGGCAAATTTTGGCGTTGCAGCGGGAGGTCGTCTCGCGCGGGCCTCTGTGGGGATTCGAAAGGGCATCCTGGAATGTGCCGGCGCCAATGACGAGAGTGCAGATTGATATTCCCGCTGCGTGGGCTTCGCAGACGCCAGCCGCGCCGCTATACTATTGCTTGATCCAGCTGCCCCAGTAGCCTGGGCCATATACCTCGGCTGGGTCGCCCTTTGAATCGTCGCCCGAGCATCTGGCACCCAGTGCCGACAGTAAGGACACTCACCCACTTTGTTGGGCATGATCAAAAAATACGAACGGACAGTACAAGAGAGTCATAGCAAGAAACGCGTAACCAAACGCAGTAAGTTGTAGCCTTGGCCGCGGCGGCTACGGAGCACGTCGAAAGCAGACCTAGAAGTCGTGTTACAATCGTTTCATAATCGCCATGGAATCCAGGACGATAAGAATCTATTGACACAACGTACTATTGACACGTTCCGGGGATTTGGGGATTTCTGACAGCCTTTGCGCGGGGTACACTTTGCGTCGAGTATTGTCTACTCTGCTTGGCGCCGCTGGTCGGTCACCTATTCGCAATCGAGTAGTCGCCCGTATGGGGGGTATATTTGGCACTTGCCGATCCCCCTTTTCGTTGCCGAGCGCTGGGGGGGCGATGGCGTGCCGTCCTGTCGCCCGCCGCCGCGCCCTGCGCGCCTCGGCGGGTCTCTAAAGACCTGGTGCTGCAGATCGCGCGCGGCCCTGGACAATTTTCGGGGGCAGAACTGAAAAGTCCGGGGGCGTTTTTGAAAATGCCAGGCCCGCGGTTTGAAAGATCCCAGAATCGGTGTTGAAAAATTCGGGGCTCGATTTTGCCAAATTCTGGAATCAATTGCGAAAACTTACCGATTTCAGAATCCTTCAGAAGTCCTGCGCGGCGGACGCATTCCACCCCAAAAAACATTTGTTGGTAATCTAACAAAGCCTTCTGGACTCATTTTTGAAAATTTCCGGAACCGCTTGCGCCGAAAAGCCGGAGGCGTGTTGTCGGAACATTCTACAATCCGGAAATAATTTCCGGGTGGTCCGACAGGCGCGGCGCGCTGATTCACGCGGCGCGCCGCGTGCGATTGGGCGCGGCACGCGCCGCGCCCTGCGCCCACGAACATCACTCGAAGGGGTTGCCTCGAAAATCGCGCCACGGCAGCTGCGACTCACGGAATCCCCAAGAGCAAAACAAACTACAGCTTGGATTCTCCGAGGGCGTTCCAATGCGCGAAAAACCCACCGCGCACATCACGCAAAGAACCTGCGCGACGGAATGCGCTCGACCATTCGTCCCTGGAGCCCGCGCGGAAAAACGGGAAAACGTGAAAATCTTGAAAACTATCAATATCAATACTTCATGCTCCTCTGAAAATCACCAGAAAATCATCAGAGAACCGCCCCACATACATCCCAATATCCTCATGGACTCCTGTCAGGATCGTTCCGAAATCGTCCCGGAATCGTCCCCGAAATTCTTTTGGAATCGTCGCGGATACGTCCTGGGGTCGTCCCGGGATCGCTCCATAACGTCCTGGGATCGTCCTGGTCCTGTCAGAATCCATCCAGAATCGCGCTTTCAGAATCCTCTCATAATGCTCCATGGATCTTTAAAACTCTTTACAGCATCGTCTCGACATTCTCTGTAGAGAGAGTCCGTGCAGCGCCCGCCAAATAATCGAGACTGGCCCCCAGCTTGTAAACCTTCTTAAGATCCTTTAGAGCGTGTGGTCAAGAGAAAACGTTGACTTGCCGTAGGTTCAAGACGCCGAGGCTTTCTGTAACTCGTGCAATTGCGTGCTCCCCCCTCGGAACATTGGTCGCGGGCTTTCGCGAAAAACGAAGTCCAGGTCGTATCATGGCCACCTAGACATCTCGCGCATAGCAGCCGATTCCATGGCAAAACGCGCTTGGGATAGCATGAGCCAGGAAACGGCGAATGACGCATATACACATACAAATGAATCTCTATATTTATACATGTATATGCATGTACGTACATATGAAATTGAAAGCGAGGGAGAGAGAGAGGGATATCTATATATATATATATACATATATAGAGAGAGAGAGAGAGAGAGAGAGAGAGAGAGAGAGAGAGAAAGAGAAAGAGAAAGAGAGAGAGAGAGAGAAGAGAAGAGAGAGAAGAAACACACATAAAGTGAAGCATGCAGATAGAGAGACGGGAAAGAGAGAGAGCGAGAGAGAGAGAGAGACGCAACAAGGGGGATAGAGAGAGATAAACATAATACATAAAGACATGTGTATAACTGTATATATCTAACGAATGAGAGAGAGGGAGAAATAGAGAAAGCGAGAGCAAGAGAGAGAGAGAGGGAAAGAGAGAGAAAGAGAGAGAGAGCGATAAAGAGAGAGAGAGAGAGAGGGATAACGGGAGAGAGAAAACACATGAAGGGAGGACGTGCGTATTTTCAAGCGATGTCGGGGGGACGTCGAGGAGCGTCACGTATGTCTCCCAAAATATCGCCTATAAAATCTGCTGCTGAGCAGATGGTCGGGCTTACTCCTCCTCCTCCTCCTCCTCCTCCTCCTCCTCCTCCGCCCTCTCCTCTTTCTCTTGCTCCCCTGCTCCTCCTCCACCTCCTCCTTCCCCCCCTCTCCTCCTACTCTGCAGATCTCTCTCCCAATCTCCTTCTCTCTCCTTTTTTCTGCTCCTGCTCGTCATCTTCCTCCTCTTCCGGTTGCTCGCGTCCTGCCCTCATAAGACGGCCCCGAGGGGTCCGAACAATTTATCCCCCTAAGTTTTCGAGATGCATCAGCGCTCTCGCTTTTTCGGGTTCCTGACGCTCCACGAGAGCCCAATGGACAGCCATCCAAGGGGCCCCCGAAACAGCCCCCAGGAGGGGAACGCGCACTGACGTTTCGCACTCCGCGCTCCAATCTGACCCCCGCGACCGCCAGCAGGTCCAGCAGAGGCCCCCCAGAGGCCCCCAAGAAGCTGCCAAGAGACCCCAGGAGGCCCCACGAGGCTCCCAAGAGGTCCGCAAGAGGCCCCCCGAGGCCCTCCGAGAGGCCTCCCGGGGTAGGCAGCAGCCCCTCGGTGCAGGCACTGCTCGGGGAACGAGGTCGTGTCAAGACCAGCTTGCCGAACACACGCTCGAGGCTTGACAACACGCATGAACGGCGGCCAGGTCTCTGCGGCAAGGCTCTGATGTGGTTTCCCCGAAGCCCGCCGATCGCTGTGCGCAGTTCTTCTGGGAGAGAAGGGGGAAAGGATAATGCGACCCCGCTGAGGCTTGTCACCGCCAGCAGCTTGCTGATATTGTAGCCGAGGTGCTTGAGACATATGAGCCCGGCGGTGATGGACGCTGCCGCTTTGGCCAGCTGCACCATTGACGACTCCTGCGCGAACCCCCTCCTCCTCCTCCTCCTCCTCCTCCTCCTCCTCCTCCTCCTCCTCCTCCTCCTCCTCCTCCTCCCTCCTCTCCTCCTCTCCTCCTCCTCCTCCTCCTCCTCCTTCTCCTCCTCCTCCTCTCCTCCTCTTCCGCCCCCCCCCCCCCCCCCCTTAATGAGTGTCAACCCTACCAATAAGGATTTGGAGGCGTTGGCCCGACTGGAACGAGGGCTCCCGCCAAAGTCGGGAATGACTTTCCCTCGGTGATGTGGCGATAAGCGGCCAGGCTAGCACCTGGGAGCCGCGTTCACGCCAAAGCGCCATAGTCCCTCCCCTCCCCTTCCTTCCGCTCCTCTCTTAGCCTTACGACCCCTCCCTCCCCTTCCTACTTTTGCTCCCCCTGGCCCCCCTTCACAATTACTCAATATGAATACTACTCTCCCTCTTCCCCTGATGACGGCCTGGGAGTGTCCGACCCCCCCCCGCGTACCGTTTTTTACACACAGGTTTCCCCAGAGTTGGGTTTTCGACTGCATTTTTTTTCAAAATGCTGCTCTCGCTGAGGCGCTGGCCTTATTTTCGGGCCCCGCTCGTTCCGAATCGTGCTCCCGCTGCAGCGCTGGCCTCATTTCCGCGCTTCCGCTCGTTTCGACTCGTGCTCCCGCTGCAGCGCTGGCGTCATTTCCCGTGCCATGCCACGGCGTGCAATGCAATGCTAAGTTGATACTACGCTTTGCGGTGCTCTTCTACGCCATGCCATGCCGTGCTCTACAATGCATCGCGTACCCTTTCGGGATCATTGCCCTGCTCGACATCCGACTGTGCGAGTAGAGAGGGGATGTGCACCATGGTAAGGGATGGGAGGGAGGGGTAGGATGTCAGATATGACGCGAACGCACCTAGCTTGCCCTTCCCCCTCCCCCTCCCCCTTCCCCTCCCCCTCCCGCTCTCCCTCTCCCTCCCTCTCTCCCTCCCCATCCCTCCCCCTCCCCCTTCCCCTCCCCCTCCCCCTTCCTCGTCCTCGTCCTCGTCCTCGTCCTCGTCCTCGTCCTCGTCCTCGTCCTCGTCCTCGTCCTCCTCCCTCTATCCGTCCCCTCCCTCGCTTTCTGCCTCCCCCTCCCCCCATACGCCTGGCTCCTGCGCGAACCTCCTCGAGGTTGCGGGCACGGACTCCTCCAGGTTGCTCAGGTCGCCCGACACGTTGGGCCGCGACTTCGACTGGTCCAGCCGCTGGTTCAGCAGGCGCAGGGCCAGCCACCACGTGCTCAGGGTGTAGTTGAGCACCTGGAGCACCCAGACGCGCTGGATGGCGCCCCCCATCGTGGCGTTGGCGCCGGTGAGGCGGACCCCCTGGAGCACTACCACTGCGGCGTGGCACGCCGCGGAGACCACCACGCAGACGAGCAGCGGCGCCTCGGCCGCGCCCAGCAGCCGCAGCCACTGCTGCACGCCGCCCTCCGCGGCGGGCGCGGGCTCGGGCTCCAGCGGCGCCACCGGGCCCTCCCCTCGCACCACCAGCGGCTCCTGGGCGTCCGTGTCTTCCGCCGCGGCCTCGGGGGGCTCGGCGAGGGCGCGCTCGGCCTCGGCCCAGCCGCGGGCCCGCAGCCACTCCCCTGCCGCGCGCACGCGCCAGGCGCGCAGGCGGTGCCACGCGCGCGCCAGCCGGTGCGCCAGGCGCCTATCCACCGCCGCGCGCCAGAACACGACCACCGCCAGCTGCAGCAGCAGCACCCAGTGGGGCTCCGAGTACATCCGCACGGACTTCTTCGCCCACATGCCCGACAGCTGCTGCCAGCTCCTGCCCGGCAGCTGCGCCATGAGGCCCAGCGCGCTCGCGGGCCCCGCCCGCCTCGCCACCTGTCCCCGCCGCGACGCGCCGGAAGCGCCGCCTTTCCGCCCCTGCTCGGAGCAGGGCGAGTGGAGACAACGGAAGGTCAAAATCGAGCCCAAGATTCCCTCCCAGGCGCCAGCCGCACCAATTTTCCGAGCCTCGTCCAGCCGTGGGGACGAGGGCCCCCCTCGAAGGCCGAGTACCGTTGTCTCATCTCGCCCTCCTCTGACATATGATGCGCAGATCTCGACGCCCTGGTTTTCGGGTCATAATTCGGCTCCCCGGCGGCCGTTCGGGACGATCCGCGCACCCCCGGGACGCTCTCGGCGAGGCGCAGCTGCTGGAAATCGTCCCAAGGCTGGAAGGCTGGCGGGAACCGGCGACCGCAGACCTGACGGGAACCGACGACCGCAAACCTGGAGCCTCGAACCCGAACCTCTGGCCTGCTCCCCGGCGCTGGCGCCCGGAGGCGCTGGCGCCCCGATCGCCCCGGCCACCGCGGCCGCCACGGCCGCGGCCGCCCCTGGCGCCAGCGGCGCGCGCGCGGGCCGCGGCGGCCCGCGCCAGCGGGGCCGCGGCCCCAGCTCGGCGCTAGCAGAGGGCGCCCGCCGCAGCGCCTGGCACGCCGGGCCTCGCAGTGCCTGGTGGGGTCTCGGGCTCGGGCTCGGGCGGGCTCGGGCGCGGTGCTCGGGCTCGGGCTCGTGCTCGGGTTCCGTCTCGGGACCTTGCTCGGGCTCGGGCACTGGCACCGCCACGCTGGCGCCCCAGAGCCCATGGGCGAATGCCCAGGGGAGGGAGGAGGAAAACGCAGGAGGAGGAGGAGGAGGAGGAGGAGGAGGAGGAGGAGGAGGAGGAGGAGGAGGAGGAGGAGGAGGAGGAGGAGGAGGAGGAGGAGGGAGGAGGAGGAGGAGGAGGAGGAGGAGGAGCCGCGTCACAGCAGCAGTTGACAAGAGCATGGAGCGATTTTGTTTCAGCAGCTGAACAGCAGTGGATTGAGTTGTATCAGACTCCGAGGCAGGAGGCAGGCAAAATGTGTGGGCGTGCTCGTGCTTCGGAACCTCGTCTCGTGGATGAGTTACCTCGGTTGCCGCCGAAGTTCCCTCGTGTGTCGCCTGCGGTGCTCTGGCTTCGCTCTCTGGGCTCCTCGCTGGCTTTCGCGGCGTGCCGGCAGCAGCCTTTGACCAGGCTCAACGCGCTGCGGGCGGTCCGCAGGCTCATAGACAAAGGCCCTGTTGCGGTCACTTCAATGCATGATGGTGATGTCGGGCGGTGGTGGAGTGTACTGTCGGTCATTCCCATCGGCGAGATGGAGGTCGGTGCTCTAAAGTTGCTGGCGTGCAGTGTGAAATATCATGCGTCGCAGCTGGCGGAACGTGACATGCAGAACCGAGTTCGAGAGTTTCGCAGACGGGTGACGGCCCAAGCGGGCACTGGCACGGGTGGTCTGTTTGCCATCACTCGGGAAAACGTTCCCTGGGTCCCGTGTGCGCCTGATCGAGAGCGTCCGCATCTCCCTGTTCACAAACAACGTGAAAAGTGGAGCTTATGTAGGCGGAGTGGTCCCGTTGGCGGAAGGTCGGGGCGTGGCACAAGTGCGTGAGCTGGCCCGCTGATCTGGGTGAGAGGCCATCTAGGCCCAGCGCTGAGCTGCTGCGCAATGTGCTCATGACCTTCAAGAAGGCGTCAGGTGTAGGTTGCGACTCCACTCGTCCACGGCAACTGTTGGAGCTGGGAGGTGATGCGCTCGAGTGCTTCATAGATCTGATCCTGGCGGTGGAGTCCTCAGCCTGTTGGCCTGCGTTCTGCACGAAGATCGCTTCCTTGCAGAAGAGGCTCGGCGGAGTTCGTCCGATTGCCCTGCTACACGTGCTGGCGCGAGTTCAGGCGCGTCTTCGGAGGCCGATTGCTGTATCTTGGGAGAGAGCGAACCACCGAGCGTATTTTTGGGCTTGTGCTGGGAGGTCTAGCGAGAGAGCGGTCTGGCAACAGACGGCTTGGGCAGAGTGGGCTACCTTCAAGTCTCGGGAGGCCAATGAAGGGGTTTGGTGCTCGGCTCAGGTGCTCTTGGATCTTCTGGAGGCCTTCGAGCAAGTGCAACATCACTGGCTCCTGCAGGCCGCTGTGGCCACTGGGTTCCCTCTTTGGCAACTTCGGCTCCGAGTGAGTGGAATTCCATAGGGCTCGCAGGTACCTTGCGTTGGGGCAGGGCTCAACCTGAACAATGTTTTCTGTTGACGTTTCGTTTTCGTTTAAAAACGAAGTTTGAGCGAAAACGCCGGCCGGCGTTGCGCGGGCCGTTCTGGAACAAAACAGCGGGTGAACAAAACAGCGGCCCCCGAGCAACCGAAAACGAAACGCATAACAGAACGGTGGCACGGCCGCGGGCCACCAACAAAACGGAAAAAACTAAACGAGCGAGCGACAAGGAACAACGACGACGACGACGAGTCAAGTGAAGGTTTAAGCAGCGAGAGCGCGAGTAACAATTTAGGCGGAGATCTAGATAAAGATTTAATCTGCGAGGGAGCGAGTGACGATTTAGGTGGAGATCCCAGCGCAACCCCCCAGCGCACACTCGCACAGCACGACCCCCAGCACAACCCCCCTCCGCACAACCCCCCTCCGCAAAATTCCCCAGCACTCACCCCAACACACACCTCCAGCGCAATCACCCAGCACAAACCCCAAGCACAACCCCCCCCCAGCACAACTCCTCAGCACAACCCCCCAGCACAACCCCCCCCCCTCCCAGCACGACCCCCCAGCACAACCCCCGAGCACAACCCCCTGGCACAACCCCCTGGCACAACTCCCTGGCCCTCCCCCCCCAGCACAACCCCCCAGCACAACCTCCCAGCACAACCCCCCAGCACAATCCCCCAGCACAACCCCCCAGCCCAACGGTTGGGGTCCGTGGTGTCCGAAGGGATTGAGACCGAGCAAGCTATTCTCCCTGGGGATGGGTGGGCGACTACGTTGCTCAAACTTGCGCTCATTCTTCCCCTGGGCCAGGTGTGTAGGTTGCATAGAACTGTCATGCCAGCGGTTGTGGTGGATGACATTTGACTTCAGCGTGTTGGAGGGCGTGAGCGGGTCTTTCGAGAGGTTGCGCAAGCAGCCAGAGAGTTGCAGACCGCTTTGGCCGAATAGGAATATTGCATTCAGGTCGATAAGACTCGCGTCCTTTCCAATGATCTCGATGCCAAGGCGGCGATTGCAAAAATGATTGCAAGAACTGGAGCCGTGGCTGTGCGACATGAGCGGAATCTCGGAGTTGACTGCAAGCCAGGCAGGAGGATAGATCGTCGAGCTCGGAAGGAGAAGATTCAGCAGGCTCGTGGGAAGGTGCGCAGGATGAAGCGCTTTTGGACAGGGGCGCGAAAGAGGTATGCAGCAGCACGGGTAGCACGATCAGGGATTGAGTCGAGCTATGCATACGGCATGGCAGTGACGGGCTGTAATTGTGGTGAGCTGGAGGCTGCGAGATCTCTGGCCTTTGCGGCCATCGAGCCAAGAACTGCAGGCAAGAGCCGTGCGCTGTCATTTATGTGTCATGGAAAGATCGATCCGCTATATCGTGCGACTGCGTTGCCTGTGGTTGCCTTTGTCAGAGCTCTTTGGGAGTCCTGGGTGTCTACGCGTGTTCTCGAGTTTTCCATGGGCAGAGTCCTCGAGGTCAAGCATTGGACTCATATTCAAGGGCCCTGTGGGGCTGTTAAGCTTTCTCTTGGAAGAGTGGGATGGTAGATCTTGGAACCCTTCAAGTGGTGTACGCATGAAGGTGATGTGATCGATGTTCGTGAAGTGTGTCCGTGGTGCATCACGTAGCTGCTTGAGAGGGCGGTCGTGGCGTGGCAGTGGCAGTATGTCTCGTTTGACTGCTCGCTGGGGCATTTGGCCCAAGCAGCGGTCTGGGAGCCAATTGCAGCGCTGGTGAACACCGGGCGACGCACGTCGCACGAGTGTAAGAACCTGCCAGTGTTGACGCATGAGCAGAGGGGATATCTTCGCTCAGTCATTGTGAACGGGCAGTGGCCCATGGCGAGGAAGTTTGAGGCGAGGTACACTGACGATAGCGACTGTTTGCTGTGTGAGTCTGAGGGCACTCTGTTGCATAGGCACTTTTTCTGTGAGTCGGCTGAGCGTGGGCCTGTGCCTGCAGAGTTTCGTGTAGTGGCGGATCGGGCTGAGGAGGAGGAGGGAGGAGGGAGGAGGGAGGAGGGAGGAGGGAGGAGGGAGGAGGGAAGAGGGGGAGGGGGAGGAGGAGGAGGAGGAGGAGGAGGAGGAGGATGAGGATGAGGATGAGGATGAGGATGGGAGGAGGAGGAGGAGGAGAGGAGGAGGAGGAGGATGAGACCCTGCTCGAGAGATGTCTTTGGGCCAGTGCGCGCGTGCCTGCAGATTGGGGGCCACCTGCCGAGCAGCAGACTGCGTGGCGCAGGCACGACGGCCTGGGGGTAATCCAGGCCGCTGCTGCGTATCTTGATGGGTCGGTCTTTGAGGGGGAGGAGGGGGAGGAGGAGGAGGAGGGGGAGGAGGGGGAGGAGGGGGAGGGGGAGGGGGAGGGGGAGGAGGAGGAGGAGGAGGAGGAGGAGGAGGAGGAGGAGGAGGAGGAGGAGGAGGAGGCGGAGGAGGAGGAGGAGGAGGAGGTGGGTGCCTGGGTGACTGGGTCGGTGGCGGGGTGGGCGATTGTCGCGGTGGCGTCCGAGCCGTCTGGGCTTCAGGATGTAGTGACTGGCTTATGCGCAGGGCCTGTGCGTGACATTGATGGCGCCGAACTATCGGCCCTAGTCCGGCTGTTACAAGTAGCAGTTCCGCCGATCGAGGCGGTGACAGATACTAATTTTGTTTACGAGGGTGTCTATGTGAGGGGGCCTGGGAGGACTACTGCGTACTGCAGCGCCTGGGCCTCCTTGTGGCGTAAGTTTTAGGCGCTCTTGGAAGACTCCGGGGGCCTCGGCGAAGGTGGCCTGGTGGTGCGAAGGATAAAAGCGCATCTGCCTGCCCAGGCCGTGCAGTCGGGGCTTGTGTCTAGACGTGACAGGTTTGGCAATCATCAGGCGGATATTTGGGCCAAGCAAGCAGCCTCGAGTGTGCGGATCCCTAGTGATGTGAGATAGCTCCGTCACAAGTCTCTCGCACTCGTCGAGAGAGTCTCGCACTGGGTCGGCACCGTCGGGGCGTCGATTGATGGTCGTGCCTGCGCTGTTGTTCGTCACTCGGCTCGTCCGATTCGGCCGCGTGTTTCGGCTGGCCTGGTTCAGCCCGTGCGATCGATTCTCGAGCACGATTGGCATGGCCCCGACGGAAACTGCTGGTGCAGACGTTGCCGTGTTTCTGAGCCTGCGCAGAGAGAGTGCGCTGGCTCTATTGTGTCTCGTGCGGTGGAAGCCTCGAGGAAGCTCGAGGCGCAGGGGGACACTCCACATAAGTTGGTGTCACTCGACACTGCACCGCGTTTCTGGAAGCAGGATCCCGCCGTGGCTTGTTTGGTGTGCGGGT